CTCGACAAAAAGAGATCATTTCCCCAGAGATTAGTATGATGGATACCAGCGCCCTCAGTCTCATCAGTTCTAACGGAACACTTGACCTGATAGAGTCCACCTGGTCTGAAGCTGATGATTTCGTAGTACTTGAATGTATTAATGAAGATGTGCCTGGATAGAAGAAGCCATTTTGTTTTAGCCGTGTTATATATCTTTATCGAACTACAATTATATTATATTAAATGTATAATAATAATAATAATATGTTGTTATTATTATTATTGTTGGATCTGTTGTATTGATTGTTTTATGAGTGTGCTGTTTGTTTATTATGAATATTGTCTGTGTTTATTATTATTATTATAATTATAATTATTATTATTGCTTGCTTGTGTACTGTTTAAAGTACATGCATTACATTTAATAAATTAACATACAATTATAATAACAATAATAATGACATCAGTATTAAATGCTACTAGTGTGTCTATAGAGAGGGTAACAGTATAAGATATTTCATGATAATGTCTAATCCTCAGCTGCTGCTGCTTGCTGTTGTCTCTTCTGTCTTACACGATCTAGATAACTGATTAGAAAAACAATTAAATAAATATTAAAATTTTTTGGGAGGAAGTAGCTTGTAGTTTTCTTTGTTCACAAAAATGTAATTGTGAAAGTCGAAGATAATTTTTGTCAGCTCCAACTTTCAAAATGTTTTATAACTGGTAGTTATCTCAAGCATCCTTCATTATCAGCTGAATAATAATGACAGTATTATCATAGAAGGTGTGGAGTAGGTTAAAGAGGGAGTTATCTTACTGGGATTGTGGTTGACTATAGTCCATGTGAAAGAAAAATGGAGGTGAAACTATTGCTCTTACTCATCTTCTTTTTTATAGTGGCTGCAAATGCAAACTACAAGAAGATGTACTGCCATAGTAAAGAATATATCCCAGTTAAAGACACATATCCTCATCTTCATTGTGGTAAAAGATTCATAACATACTCCAATGGAAGCAATGATCATGTTAATTTCTTTGATTCTCATGGTGTGCAATGCAAAAAAGTCAAGAAAGTTCTAGAAGCTGGTATATTATATGAAATAAGAAATGTTCTAGAAGAATTCTACAAAGGAGAATGCAACGGTAGCACAGGTGAACCTTCTAGGAAGCGAGCACCTCAGAAAAGTCCAACGCACAGGAAGAAGAAAAGGGAAGGACTGTAGAATTGTGTGAATGAATTGAAGAACTATTTTTAATTATTTTTGTGACCTTAATTTTGAAAAAAAATGCTAAAATTAACGTCAGTTTTACTTACTCTTGGAACTCGCACTCGTCCCAGGCGTGTTTCTCTTTCTTGCATCTCCAGGGAAGGTAGTAGTTGTCCTTACGACACTTCATGAGTGGGATGAAGTGATGGGCGCAATAATCTCTGAGATTGAGAGGGACTTTGGCCTCTGCCATCTCTTCTTGGGTCACTTTCATTTCTAGGGTAGAGGAACAATTAGAATAAACATCAGATTTGCTGTATTTCTCTCTTAACCTCTCTTGAACCCGGTAGCCATCTTTATGCCACTTTCAGCCACGCCCAATTAAAAAAAATGGTGCAAGCTCACGTGACTAGCTGGTAAACTAATTAATATTCATAAGACCACTAGTCACCACACCCACCTAATTATGCCCACGTGGTTGCACGTGGGTATTAAAATCCTCTCCACGGGGTTTTTGCATAGATCTGAAGATGAGCTGGCAGGAGACTAGTCTCTTTCTCTTCCTCCCTCAGCCTCCATTGGTAAAGCATCTATTGAACTAACCTGTTCTTTGTAGTATCCACCATTTTACCACCACTCCTCCAGACCTCCCTCACTCCTTCCATCCCTGGGTCTGGTAAGGGGTTTGTTAATTATTATTCTCATTATAGGTACAGCTATTGAAGACTAGCCCAGGATATTTCAAGTTGTATGGTAGTGTGTGTATCATATCATATTATACTGGCTCTATTGTTTTATGTAGGACAACCAGTCAGTATTTCAATGATCCATTCATTCATTATTGGTACGTATGTAAAGAGTAATCCTATCTTGCCTAATATCCTGATAGAGCTTTGTGTCATCATCAACTATAGTTCTGGTAAGTAGTGAAGAGCAGCCATTGATCAGTAGTGTGATCAAGTGAATTCGCAACAATAAAATCCGCAAAAGCCATTTTTTGGCAATTCGCAGAAATTTTGGGCCACAGAAATTTCTAGCTATACGGTAATTCATCATTCCTTGTCTTCTCATTCATAATGCGCATGCTATCAAGGAATGTTATCATGTTAAGGTGTGGCAGTGAGTGTGTAGAATAACATCATAATCATAAACAATTTACATTCTAAACTCTGTTCTAAACTGTTCAGTTCTCATTCCTCTTACTAATGGCTACTGTTATTGGTATCTACTGGTGTCTTGTGTTGATTGGATGCATCAGTCTTGTTGTATCTAGTGAGCTATCAAACTTAACTTTAATGTAACTATACTAACTAGTCTATCAAATTCTTGTCATTAGCTATAACATCATATGAGCAGTCACCTCATATTGTGTGTCCTGGAGATAAAGTAGTGTTTACTTGTGTGGCTGTTGGTCATGGAGCTAGATGGAGATTAAATGGAAATGAACCAAGTGTCCTTTTTGCAGGGACTTCACCTTCTGAAACACTTGGAAGTTTTTTACTTGAAGTAGCACAGTATAATATTGTTACAGGAGAGATAGTTAGCACAGCAACTAATGAGACTTCTCCATTAATACTAAATGAAACTAGCATTGGTTGTTCTGGAGATGAAAGAGGAACATATCAGGAGAAATACATTAATTTTGCAGGTATAGTTAAAAATACTGAACTGACAAATTGGATCTATATTCTTGCCATGCAGGACTACCTCCAGCAATTAGTAACATAAATATTGGAGCAAATCATAATAATTCATTATTTATCAATTGGACATCTTCAGGATTGTGTGTAGATCATTATACTGTTGCTAAAATTAGTAACAATACTGATGAAACCAATTTTACTACTAACAACACTAATATAACAATTACTGATCTTATTATTGGTACTAATTATTCATTTATTATTATTCCTATTGATACTATTGGAAGAGAAGGACCTCCTTCATCATTAATACAGTATATATGGAATGGTAAGTACTACACACACACACACACACGCACACATGAAAATTGAATTAATACCCACCTAAATGTACATGAATATTTAAGTACTAATTAAAAAAGCATGGCAGCATCTGCATCTAGTTGTGTGATGGCAGTAAAGAAAGACAGCATTCCCTGTAAGTAATGTATTTTAAAACAATTTACAATCAAAAATTAACTGTATAAACAAAGTAGATGTAGCATACAGTGTCCTTTATATGTAACATAAACTGTAACTGTGTTCATAGGAGTAGTTAACATAGAGTTCAGTTACATAAACACCTTATCAGTTAAACCAATAGCTGAGTGAGGTTCAGACAGTGCGGGGAGAGTTGGGGCCCCATAAAAGATCTTTAACCCGCCATTTCTGGTTCTCAAGGCCAGGCTGTCTGTCCCTTGCCCAGTAAGCATTTTAAATAGAAGGGAAACCCCATATTCTGTTAATTTCGACTCTTAAGTCAATGGATGTGTTGAGCTTTGAAGATGCCAGTACTTTCAATCGAGGTGCAAGCCCAGCACTAGGCTACGGTTATGGTAGCTGGGTCCTGAGACATAGCCTGGGGGTTAGGTCGAAACACCAACACACACACACACACTCATTGTATTTCTTATAGTACCAGCTCAAGTTGTTAATATTAGTTGGTATCAGATATCAAATGATAGTATTACAATATGGTGGAATAACACTCAAGTATGTTAAACCATTAGTCAAAATATCATTAATAATATTTTATACAATAGGACGATTCACTACACCATCTACCAGTACATTACATTATAAATGTGTTGGGTGAAGATGATAATACATATAGCAATAGCATTGTTGTTCATTGCAATCATCAAGTGGATCCATGTTATGTTAGTATCATTCCTGTTAATGTTATTGGATATGGACCATCAACTACTATTAATGGTATATTCATACAGTGTTTTATAATGATATAATTAAGTGTATTTTATTCATAGTTGGCATAACTCCTACCATGACCAGTAGTTCAGTTACTAATACTCCATCATCAGGTCTGTATTAGCTTTCATTACAATATATATATTGTACACTGTACATTATTAGTTACATTAACTATTAATATAAGCACTAATACATCAGTAATATATATGCCATCTACTTCAAGTAAGTGATTATTATAGCTTTATACTATTAATTGATATAATAATAGCTATAGTGTCTTCAACAATTGATGAACAATCATCTTCTATTTCAGCTACTACTAGTACATCAACTAGTGCTATTAGTACAAGTACACCAGTTTCAACATCAACAACTGTATCAACTACTGCTGCTGGTGCTTCTAATATTGTTTCTGTTATATCAGGAGCTATTGGAAGTGTATTTATAATAATAATAATAATTATTATTATTATTATCATTATTATAGTTTTGTCAATCAAGAAACAAAAAAGTAAATATTTTAATAATTATTTTTGTTATTGCTATTAAATTTTTGCAACATGCAGGTAAAAGCAATATTATACCTAAAAAGCAAGTTATTTATTATCTTTATTTTTACTATCAAGCCCACGTAATTTTATAGGTACAGTACTGATACAACAGTTACTCCTACATATGATGAGATCATTGTTAAACCAACTACTACTACTGGAGTACCAATATATGATACACCAATGGAACTACAGGCTAATACTGCTTATGATAGACCTGTGATTAATAAAGATATAATTAATGTACATAATGATGCATATGGACAAATCATGATGTAATTTTTAAAAAAGTCTTTATAGTAACAGGAGGAAGTCTGTCACTGAATCCTGTTTTTAATTCATTCTATAGAGTGCTATGTTGATTATTAAAAAGTTAAACACATAAAACACAGTGCAAACATGTAGTCTCGCTAGCCAGACCATTCCCCAGCCTACAGTCATTGGGGTGGACCAATGACTGTAGGCTGGGGAATGGTCTGGCTCGAGAGACTATATAGCAAAAATGATAATCATAAGACCCCAAAAATCTATTTAATATGCATGTAGCTGAGTGAGAATGATCACAATTAAATCACGGATAATATGAACTAAGTCTTTCAAAGTATGAATGGATTTGCTAACTTGAGGTACATAGCACAAGCTTATCATGAGTACTGGAGATGTGCATCAATAAAACATCCATTCAAACTTGAGCACACATGGATAAAAACAATCTTAAGAATGTCTAGTAACTGCTAGATCTCTATGTCATATGAGCTTGTGGTCAAGCTGCAAAAAAATAGCATACAAGCCAGTGTGCTATTTTTAGTAACAAGTCTCATAATACACAAAAAAGCAACACCAGAAATTGTAACAATTTCTACCATGCCTAGCTGTCTAGCACTGCAATCAGTATAATTGTTTGTACATGATACAAGTTGGTTATACAGCTTTGTGTCAATGGAATTATCAACCTCTCGCACTTAATTAGTGTGTAATACTGTTTAAGGACAAGAACAAGATTATAACACTCTTTTATTATTCGATTAACAACAACAGACAAGAAACAATAGTAATAGCAAGGTTTGTTCTAAATGAGTAGTAGTCTACTCTTGTCATAATGATTAAAGAGAAGTATCAGTTCCTTTCTCCCTCCAACATGTGGATTCTTCAGACCTATAGCTTTCCCTTCTTTTCTCTGAGGTATAAATGACTATAAAAGTTATCATTAATAATTACAAGTACATTTACCTTCAGCTTCATACATGTAGGTACAACAATCATAGCAAAAGAAAATTAACCAAAAGCTATTCTTCCAAATCCTGGGACAGCACCATTGTTTCTTCCAACATATCCTCAGGACAATCCAACAAACAAACAATACAATCAATACTCCCAGTACAACAAATGGAATGGCAGTTACAAGTGAATCTATGATTAATTGCGAGTAATAAATAAATTTGAGTTGCATGTACCTATAGTTCTGACTTCTATTGTTACATTCTGCATCACTATCTCATTACTAAACTCTATTAAAGGTTATCTTCTGAAACTAATATAAACAGCTCAACTTACCACCATTCCTATTAACTTTCCCAACAACATTAGAAATACTAATATTGTAAGTATGCTCAACTCCAGACGTTATGTTAAAGATAGCTATATTGCTATCCATGACACATGATTTCAAGACATAATCCAAAGTAATATTACAATCAGTAACTGGGGGTCGTTCATCATCATCATTCTAATAAAAATTCATAAAAGCTATGATCACTGTAAGTCTACATGTACTTTAAGCTTACTTTAAATGTGAAATTTGCAATACTGTTGTTAATATTCATACGAACTGAATATTTAGGCTCTGAATAAAATAAATAAAAACAAAAAATGATCATACTCTTGCATACCCTTCCAAACAAAGGTTGTACTATTTGTAGAACCAACATCATTTCCCAAATAATCAATACTGGTTAATTCAAAGATGTAGTCACCAGATAAATCTTTCTTCGGAGTATAATCATACTGTGTTCCACTAACCATATCTGTATCCAATAAAACATCATAGAAATAAACTGAAAGTCTGAATGATTGTACACAGGTAGTACTAGCTCCACTCCAAGAGACCCTGATTTGACGAGTTCCACTCAAAAGATTAGCTATAACTTCATCACTAGCTCTAGATAAATAAAAATAAATAAATAGATAATAAAGAGGCTACACTGTACATGTATTAAGGACAGGTAGTGTGGGCCCAATGGTGTCCTTAATAAAGAGGCTACACTGTACATGTATTAAGGACAGGTAGTGTGGGCCCAATGGTGTCCTTAATAAAGAGGCTACACTGTATACTTATTCATAACTGAATTAATAAATCCACTGACAGTCAGTTAATGCAGTTACAGTGCAATTGATGAATCAGTGAAGACTAACAGTATCAAATAACAATGTGACACATATTCTGTAATATACACATGATAATAGTACGACTGGTGAGATGTGACACATACTATAAACTATATCATAATAATAGTACAACTACTTGTAGTGTAGGGATAAATGGGATATAGTGAGAAGGAGAGAGGGAGGGGAGAGAGAGGAAAAGGGGGAGAGAGAGAGAGGAAAGAGGGAAAAGAAAATTACCTCATCTGTAAGAGGGTGAGTGTGGTGTGAACTAGGTGTGAGAGATAAGGATAACAATCCTCAAGGATATTGTGAGATTATTTACTGAAGACTTCTAAAGGAAATGAATAAAGAAGATACCACATAAAGTACACAATAAAACCACTTCACCAACTCACTCATATACACATGTACATGTACAGACTATATATAGCCTCTATATAACGGACACTTTGGTACTATCAATCCATGAAGGATAGTAGATTTGACTTTAAGTCTTTGAAATTATTTTGAAACTGAAGAAAAAGAAGAGAGAAAGGACTCTTATATAAAGAACTGAACGGAAATGACATATTAATTAATAATAACAGTAATAATTAACCACAGGATAAAGTATGCACAATTTCACATCAAAAATGAAGAACTATATATATATTATATAACTCATAAAGTTTTAATTGGAATCAGCTAAAGCTTTCTACACAGCATATGTATCAGAAAATGTAATAAAAATTTGGGGTGATTTTGGAGCCATTTTTTGGAAAAAACCATGGGCTATAGCCTTGGGTACTTCTCAAATTTTGACATTTTCTTAAAATGGCCGTAACTTGAAAAATTGAAGTCGGAATCAGCTCAAACTTTCTACACAGCATAAAGACATCAATATGTATCAGAAAATGTAATAAAAAGTTGGGGTGATTTCAGAGCCAATTTTTGGAAAAAACCATGGGCTATAGCCTTGGGTACTTTTCAGATTTTTGCCATTTTCTTAAAATGGCTATAGCTTGAAAAATTGAAGTTGGAATCAGCTCAAACTTTCTATACAGCATAAGGACATCA